CGCCTCACCCAGATTTCCTCCAATTCGTTCTCTTCGTCGTGACGAGTCACCTTCACGTTCCGTCTTTACGTCGATCTCTCAGCGACAAGAAGAATCCTCAAATCGCTGGGTAACGCCATTACTGCTGGCGTTCGCGCTGCTAAGCCTGGTTGCGAATATTGTATTGTTCTATGTAGTATTTAAGAAATAGGTTGAACTAGAAAGACTTGTTTCTTTGGAAGGGGAAAGGCGGAAAGGAATATTTGAATAATTTGTTATACGTTTCGCTGTTACTGTTTATCAGCTTCTATTCTTGTTAATCTATTTGTTGGCTTTTGTTGATTCCACCCTATATTTGTTTTATGAATGTCATACTGTTAAATCTACACTGCGTTAAGCATTCCTGATTCCTGCCGATCCCTGACACTCAAATCTAGGCTCATTTTTGTTGCCGCGCTTTCTGAACCTTGTTGGTCATTGATCTCTTACGAAATTTTGGTTTGTATTTTTGTTTCTTATTGTTGTGTTCATGGTCAATGACGTTATGTGAATGCTACCCTCCTTGTGAGAGCGGGTCCATACTTCGCGATCTGATCACGCGAAGCAAGCGATCTGGGTCGCACTTTATGAACGCGCTCTAAAATGTATAATTTCAAGGTGAGAAGTCGTGTGATTAATTCTTATTTTCGGTGAAACAATGAAAATTATGACATAGTCAACGCTTATCGATTTCTGCTGCGTATGCATCAAGGCATGTACCGTCCGTTTCTAGGGGAATTTAAAAAAAATACGACCCCTACAGGATTTCCTCCTTGTACGACCACCCTTCTCCATCATCTGCCTTACTATTGACTTTTCCCAACTTTCCTGCGACTTGTCCCTTCTTTTCCAAAAGGACCATCTAGGACCAAATATTCCCTATTCCCCAGTCAATGTCTTATAACTAGTCTCCCTCCCGTTTTCAGGGTGCAGCATCGTTGTGTGAAACACATCTGGGGTCGTATTGGCAGCTGGTTAGGGGGAGGGGTCGTGTTTGGTCATTTTCGGAAGAGGAGGGGGTCGTAAGCG